GAGGGGTCATCTCTTAGCCCTTTTCCGTGGGGTAGGGGCGGCGGTGGCCTCCTCGGAAGCTTGCCCGCGGATCCTGGGACATGCTTTCCCCTTCCCACCTCTGCCCTGCCTGCTGTCTGCAGACTTTGTGTCTCAGGCTGGCTCAGGCCCCCTTGGGCCCCTTTGCTGGGAGAGGGAGGTCGGGGGCCTCTTCTAGCCAACACCAGCCTGGGGTGGCCCTCCGCCCTGAGGGCTGAGTTCTGGTGTCCAGTGGACTTTGATGGAGAGCTGGCTGAAGCAACAGTAATAATAGTTAACGAAGATAATAATACTAGCAGCCTCTCTCTGTTGGGTACTTATTATGTACTTTGACTTGACCAGTGGCCCAGTGAGGAAGGTTATATCCAGGTCTGTGATTCCCAGATGAGGGCCCCGGGCTCAGGCAAGGAAGGGCCTGGCCCAGATCGTAGACCTGGAGGGGGCGGTGCCCGGCCTGCGTGGTCTCCCCAGCCCTGTGGTCCTGAGACTACCACGTGACTGCCACATTTGGAGACAGGGGGGCGGGATGTGAAAAGGTCCTGTGGTTCTTCGTGGAGTGTCTGCCCAGCTGGGAGGGATGGTAGGACCCAGCTGACCTGAGGGCCTGCTGGCCCTAAGAGCTTCCCTCTTTTCTGCCCCTGCCCGGCACCCACAGCTTACAGGTTGGGGCCGGAGAACCTCACCCGTCGTGGGGAGCCGCGGGGTCGGGCTCGGGAATAACGCGCTGCTACAGGGTTAAGTGCAAAGGGGGGTCAGGGGCATTGGGCAGAAACGGTCCTGAGGGTTCCACCCCAGGGATGTCACCCCCTAGATCACGGCCTTGGTCCTGACAGCCTGCCCCACCCCCACCCCCTGTGCCCACCCTTGAGCACAGACCCCTTGCCGGTGAACTGGTACCTGATTTTTCCACTTAATAGCTCCGTGGCCCTGAGCAAGTAACTCAGCCTTCCTGTGCCTTGGTTTCCTCCTCTGTACGATGGGACCATTAGAAGGGATCCTGATTGCCTGGGGCCCCCTTAGCAGGAAGCCCCTGCACAGACGTCCTGGTCCATCCCCCCCCTTTTTCTTTTGCACTTGGGAGCTTCCGAGGCCGTGGCTGTGGTCTGCGGTCTCGTGGCACCTACTTTCACTGTCGTTCTTTAAGAGAGCTTCCCAGGGAGAGAAGACTA